TTCTGGACAATACTGATTTCCATATCAACATTTTTATGCTGATGTGTATGTACTTTGATGGCATCAGGTTGTCTGATACACTGTTATCTTTTTCCTTACCTTGTCCCTATGGGTACTACAAGGTATCACTCAAGAAATAAAATGTTGAAAATGATCAATAAATAGTGTGAATGATAGATACTATAAATACCGACTATACCAGGCATAGTGCCAGATATTTTAAATTCATTCTTATTTAATCCTTACAACAATCTTACAAAGAAATACAGCATTAGTGGCTTAGGCCTAGAATCCTAGCTATTCAGTAGGCTGAGATCTGAGGGTCCTAGTTTAAGTTGGCCTGGGCAGAAAAGTCTTTGACTTTTTATCTCCAATTAACTAGCAAAAAGCCAGAAGTAGAAGTGTGGCACAAGTAGTAGAGCATCAGCCTTGAACAAAAAAAAAATCCAATTGAGAGAGAAAAGTATGCCTTAAGTTCAAGCCTGAGCACAAATTCAAAAGAAATAGTGGTTCAACGAAGTTAAGTAATTGCCCAAACACACACAAGTAGTGGTAGAAAGTGCATAGACTTATATATGAGCTCAGAATATAAACACTCACACATTTAACATGACCTTCTGGGTCTACTGTCATTCAGAGGACTTTCTGGAGTCAAGCTAAAGCTTTTATGGTACTCTGATCTTGAGAAAGCCTTTAGGGTTGAATTCCTATGGAGAAGAACCACAAATAAGTGATCTATCTGTAGGTCATATAAAATTCCTCTGTAATTGGAAATGTTAGTCCTTTTTTTTTTCCAGTCCTGGGGCTTGAACTCAGGGCCTGGCCACTGTCCCTGAGCTTGTTTTGCTCAAGGCTAGCACTCTACCACTTGAGCCACAGCACCACTTCCAGCTTTTTCTGTATATGTGGTACTGAGGAATCGAACCCAAGGCTTCATGCATACTAGGCAAGCACTCTATAACTAAGCCACATTCTCAGCCCAAGTGTTTGTTCTTATTTGGAGACAAGCCACATTTCCACCATAGCCAAGAAAATAGGATGATTCCCTAAAATTGTGGCAACATTGTGATGTTTTGTTTGTCATCTTATATTTTCCTCTGGTGGAACAAAATAAGAAAAAGAAAAACAGGATAGAAAATTCCTCATAAAGTTAAATATACTTTTGTGAGATAAAAGAGAGGAGATACTTTTAAGTATTTCTTTACTATAAAAAAATAACTGTTAAAAACTCTCCCATGGGACTGGGAAGGTGGCTCAGTGGTAGAGCACTTGCTTTGCATGCCTGAGGCCCTGGGTTCAATTCCTCAGCACCACATAAGCAAAAAGGAAAAAGCTGGAAGTGGTACAGTGGCTCAAGTGGTAGAGCACTAGCCTTGAGCTGAAGAGCTGAGGAACAGCACCCAGGCTCAGAGTTCAGACCCCATGACCGGACCCAAAAAAAAAAAAAAAACCTCTCCCAACTTTATTCTATTAGAAAATTCAAAAGTCTGAGACCCATTGACTTGGGGAACTCTATGCAATTAGAATCAAGGAAGTTGAACTCAAAAGAAACCAGAACTGAAATATTTTTGAATTTCCCTAAAAGTTACCTACAAAATATCATAAAGACCACAGGTCTCAGGAATAGATGTGCTAACTGGATTTTTGTGTGACATTTGCATTACTAATTCCCTCTTTCCATTGTCCTAGTATTTCCTGCTTTGCAATGGATCCTTAGACAATTAGGTTAGCTTAGTAGTTCAATATAAATTGAGTCTCCATTTGTGTGAGACACTATTAGGTGCCTGAGAACACAGGCACTCATGAAGGCTGTTTTTGCCTTGATGTCTTGGGTCAAAAGTTCCCTGACACTTTTGGACATCCCTATCACGTAAGAATAAACTGCTTCCATGGGGTTATGCTCCTGTAATTGCTCTCATACCTCTGCATACATTATTGTTTATGTTTGTCTCCCTTCCTTCAGCAAATTCCCCAAAACCAATTTATACCTAAAGAATTGTTGCATAGTTATGCAAGATCACAGAGAAAGCTTATTTCAGCTTACTTCTCCTCCCTATGACATTTCTCGGTGTGTAACAAAATATTGAGAAGAAAATTAAAAATCATAAGGTCTTAGTGACAGCATATGAATTTGCCTGTCCAGTCACTTGTCACTTGCCTTCAAAGAGACAGCAGGTAGACTCCTCAGGCCTTGAAGGAATACTGCTGCTAAGCAAAACCATTCAACCACCACTACATCCTTCTTCCTGAGAAGGGTACAAAACAATAGATGCATTTCCTCCACAAAGAAGAAGAGATGGAATGAAAGGTGTTATCCTTTCAGGTACCTTCAAAATAACAAGTGGACAGTTTGGACATTTGAAATCTTTAGCAATCAGTAGAAAACAGTAAGTGAGGGAGAAAGGTATTCTTTCCACTACTCACAGGAGTGGGGAAAGGGGGGGAAAAGAATTAAATGATGTTGAAGCTATCTGAAGAAGAATTATTCTTTGGGAATTAAGAGAACATTTCATAGAAAGCATTTAAAATCTTGCTAACCCATTGGCAAGTTCTTCACAGGTGCCCATCAAAAGGGAAAGTGACATGAGCTCAACTATATAACATTTAATTGTTCTCATGTTGCTGAGGCCAGATTATGTCTGTCACACAAACTGCACACTAGGCTGAGAATCAGGATCTTTGCTGGTTACCCTGCCAAATACAGACCCCAAGGAAAACCAAAACCAAACCTTCAAAGAGCACTGAGCCCGATAAATATGGTGATACCTGAAATTATAGCACTCAGAAGATAGAGGCAGAAGAATGACAAGCTCAAGGCTACATAGCAAGATCCTGTCTCCAAAAAAACCCAAATACATAGATACGTATACACACACGTGCCGTGTACATAGGTATATAATAGAGGACTCTGAATAAACATTCACACACAGTCTCCATCTACCCTGGGGTTCAAAAGTGAGAGAAGAGAAACTGAGTGGGTTACTGAGTGGGTTAGGATATTCAGAGGTTTGAAAGAGACTTAGAAAAAAGAGATGTGAGAGCTGGGAGGTGGCTCAGTGGTAGAGCGCTTGCCTTCCATGCATGACCCTGGGCTCAATTCCTCAGCACCAAATAAACAGAAAAGGCCAGAAGCGGCACTGTGGCTCAGTGGTAGAGTGCTAGCCTTGAGCTGAGGAGTTGAGGCACAGTGCCCAGGCCCAGAGTTCAAGCCCCATGGCTAAGAAAGACAGACAGACAGACAGACAGACAGACAAACAGATGTGATATGCTGGTAAGGGGGAGATCCTAAAGCAGAAGAAAATGTAAACTGTAAGTGAAGAGACAGGGAAAGAAAGAATTTCAATAGATGTGGATGAGGTAAGGCAAGAAAGGAAGGTAAAAAACAAAAGTAAAGAGGACCTAGAAGAGCAGAGAGTAATCAAAACTGAGATGAAGCAAAAGGCAAAGACCTATAGTTGTTCTTTTCCCAAATCCAAAAGCTGCTCACAGCATCCCAATAAATCACTCAACCACAAAGTCCATACAATGGTCTCTCCTTTGTATTCAGTAAAAGCAGCAATTAACAAAGTTATCACCCAGCAGCAACTTTGAAGACCTAAACATCTGAATTTAAAAATCATCAAAATTGATTCAAAGCAGCTGAGACAGCTAGTAAAGACTTTCTCCCAAAGCCTGACTCAGCTTAAGAAAAGGTTTAACCTTTTTTAAAGTTAAGCAAATACTTTTGGCTTTTTTCCTTCTTTTGACATTCCAAGAGGGGGTGTGGTTGACCCCAGATCTATTCATTTCCAAGGTTGTAGATCTCTCAGGGAAGACTTGCCCCATCTGTTCTGGACTCGGTCAGCTGTTTATCTGAAAGTAACATAGTTGTTGCACTGATCATCCCTGTAACTTTTATGAAAAAGGACAGCCAGTATCACACAAGCCAGAACGTTTTGTTTCTCATTAAAGTTGGTTTTTTTTTGTTTGTTTGTTTGTTTTAAGGCACATTACGATGCTCCTTGGTTTCCTAGGCCAGGATCACTCTTTTGGGGGTGCCTTTCAGCGACAGCCAGTAAAGGTTGATAACACTTCTAACTTTCCCTTTACATAGTGTGTTCAAAGGAACCCCAGGTTCCCTAATCCATCCTGTTGCAAACAGTTATTTGTGAGAGGTAACTGAGCCTCGAGAACCCGCAGCTCATTAGGGTACCATTGTCAGCGGCAAGAACCTATGGCATTGTAACTTACAACACTCACACAAGCACAAATCTGTCTCTCGGCTCCACTCCCAAACAATCCTGAATCCTGCAATGGGGAGAACAGAAAACGCTAACTAAAATGATGCTTCCAGCAGCCTAAGAGAACCTTCCCCGGACACGTGAAATGTTTCTGACTAGTGCACCATTAAAGGACACTGTCACCTCAAATTAGCAGAAAAGGCGAGACAAACCACACACACACACACACACACACACACACACACACACACACACACACGACATAAAGACCTGAGAAACTTAAGCTACTCAGAAGCAGTATGCTCATCTTTAAAAAAAAAAAAATAGTCTATGTCCGTCCAAGCGACACAGAAATGTTTCAAAGTAGTGCGATCACATTGAAACACTGTCTCCATGTCTCCCCACTCATGACCCCTTCGCACTCAAACCTCCGCACCCGGGCCGTGGTGACAGGACTGCAGTCCTCCACCTTTGCCCTCTTCTGATTTTTCCAAGAGCATTTCTCAACATCCTTCCCAGCCCAGCCCCCTCTCCCAGCCTCCAAAAAAAAAAAAAGGTTGAAGGGAGTTGCGACGAGGGAATCTGGCAAGCACCGTCTTCTGGCGGGGGCAGGTTGCCGGAGTTGTTCCTGGCAGTGACCCAAATTGCACAAGAGCCTGAGGGGACCCCACCATCACCGTCCTTCCCACGCCCCCTCCCCATCTTCTGCAAAGAAAGCCTTGAGAACTAGGCGCGAGGGATAACTTGGAAGAACCATCTGAATAAATCACTGCAACTCACCTGGTTTGGGATTTTTCTCCCCACCCCGGGCATAAACAGAAATGATGTGAGAATGAGTCACGCTCGCAAGGGAAGGTGCTGCGGTGTCCCGAGTCCAAGGGCTGCAGTCCGTCCCTGCCCCGGTGCGGCTGCTACTCTGAGCTCAGCTGGAGCGAGCGGCAATCGCCAGCCCAACAGCAGCAGGGGGGAGGATTAACCGTAGCACAATGAATGCAGTGGGGTTTTGCAATGACATCATCCCTCTGCTCTAGCGGCCCCAATAATCATGCTCGAGAGCCATGCATTCTGGGAATTGTAGTCCCCTTTCGTCCAGGAAAGGAAAGCCAAAGCCGACATCGAACTACAATGCCCAAGATGCACCACGGCCGGGCGCGCCCAGCGCAAAGAAGCAGAGAGTTGGGCCGCCATGTTAGGTGCTGCGGGACGACTCCGCGGAGCTGGCCGAGTTTTTAGGGACTGAGGAGCAGAATGATGGTGCGGTGGGGACGGTGAGGTGAAGGACGAGCTTTCTGGAGAGCTCTGGGCGCCAGCGTGGGACGGGGTGGTGGTCTCGCCGGAGACGGACGCAGGGTGGGTCTGACTGAAGGAGGCCGACCTGGGCCTCACGGTCCTGCGGGGCTGCGCAGGCCCCTCGCCTCTGCTCAGTCTCGTCGCCGAGGGATCGAGGGCATCGTGTTATTTCTGGGCTGGACCGGTCTCTTTAAACCCGCTAGCCAGGCAGTCGGGTCGACGGTGGCCTTTGTTGAGGTTGTAGGGGGTCTCGGGTGGCGACTGTCGCGCCTTTACGTGGAAACCCGCCCTCGCCCAGAGTCACGCCAGCCTGTCAGATTTATTTTTTTCCTTCCTTCTCCTTCCTTTCCCACTCTCTTACCTCCTTCCCTCAGGTTTAGGATTCCCCCACCGGTTTGCTTTTTTGCCATATAGGAATGACCTGCAAACAAAGGGGTCCCAAGAAATGTGCCAGGGATCGCGGGACAGTGCTTTGGCCCTGCAACTAAGACCACAGGAGCGGCCGAAAGGAGTAATGCCGGGTTTGAAACATCTCACCCAGCAGGGAAAGCACCTGAAAGAAGCTATTATTGGTAATAGGCTTAATAGCCACGGTTATTGGGTAAACCTAGGGTGTATGCCCAAACGCGGCCAAGACTCGTTAGTGTGATCACCTTGATGTTTGATTAGCATATATTGATTGTACATAATAATGGGCTTCTTTGTGACATTTTCCTGCATGCATAAAACTTAAAATCACTCACACGTGCCTCATTACCAATCTCTCTTTCCCCTCACCAATTTATATTAGAGATGTACTTAGTGTTTAGTTTGGGGTACTCTATAGTGTGATTAAGAACTTTTAAAGTCATTCTGTCCAGTGTTTCAAACTAACTGTTTTGTTTCCAGTTGTTTTACTAAATCAGTGCTGTGTGTTCTTTTTCAGATTCTTGCTACACTCTGGATAGATGAGAAATTTCATTTCCTTCTGAGGGTGTCAGAAGGTTAAAAACGATATAATATGTGTTTTATGTTGTCCCTCCCACCTTCTGCACCTTATTCTTCAGACTAACTGGTCTCTTTGAACCAGTAAAAGTATGCACAATATGTCTGTTAGAAGTTAGTAAAATTACAGCTGATAGATTCTCTTATCAGAAAAAGGCTAGGAGGACTGATTTTAAATGACCAAAACATGGTAGATATCATCTGTAGAAGATTCAAGTTATATGTCTTGTTTCTGGGAACAAGCCACAAGATGAATTACTGTGTTTAATATGTAGGGAAAGGGAAGGATAGTATGTGTTGGTGTCCTTTGCCCATTTGCATTAGCCTTTCAAGTGCAGCTGCCCATACAGATATTTGCATTACTCAGAAATACTTTTGCACATAAAAGTGGTAAGTATTGGAAAAGGGACATACACATTTTCTTTCTGATCTGTAATAATAGAGATGTTCTCTGCTAACATTTTATATTTATATAAGCCGTAACTACTTTGACATATGGAAGACAAATACATCCAGAGAAAAAGTAACAGATTGCCCTGAAATCTTGCATGTAAAAAAATGAGACCTGTGTAATGTAGTGATTTCTATAATTTGTCATGTGTTTAATAACATCGGGTTTTCTAGTCTTAAATCTAGACATTTAGCATACTTTAAATTCATGGGGCATATTTAATACATGTGTATTTTGTGCTTTTAGGAATGTGAGTGTGTGTGTGTGTGTGTGTGTGTGTGTGTGTGTGTGAGAGTGAGAGAGAGAGAGAGAGAGAGAGAGAGAGAGAGATGCAGATCCTGGGGCTTGAACTCTGGGCCTGGGTTCTGTCTCTGGGTTATATTTAGCACTCTACCCTCAAGCCACAGTTCCATTATGGCATTTTTGCTTGTTAATTTGAGATAAGAGTCTATATACTTTCCTGCCTGATCTGGCTTTGAGCCACAGTCTTCAGATCTCAGCCTCCTGAGCAGCTAGGATTAGAGATATAAGCCACTGGCACCTGGCATTCAGTTATTTTTTAAGATAGTCTGTTTTTACCAACATGGGCCTTGGATCACAATCCTCCTATCTAGGTTTCCTTTGTAGCTGGGATTACACTACTTTTTGTGTGTGTTGCTGGAATAAAATCTCTTTTTAAGTTTTTGCCCAAAGTGACCTTGAACTTCTCCTCCCACTCTCTACGTTCAGTAGTTGCTTATTTTGTACTTTTAATTTTTAGAAAAATATTCTGTACTCTTTAAAAATTAATATTTGCCAAGTTGATGTTGCCAACTTCTAAAATAAACCCATGTTGCAGAAGAAACACTGGTTAACGAAGTACTTTCTTATTTTTTTCAGTGGTGAGGAGCAAGCCTAGGTCCTCGGGAATGGTGGGCATCTCTGCCACTGAACCACACTCCCAACTCCTAAGAAAATAATCCTAAAATGCAATTAGAAGTGCCTTAGAGAAAGCAGAGTGTATTATTTAAATATAATTAGAAAGTTGATTTGTACTACAATCATATAGCTTACTAAAGTATATTCAGTTACTGTTGGCAGCAAGAATGTTTTCAACAGGGATAGAATTGTTGCCTCTAGATCCCAATTGAATTATCAATACTGTGTATTTTTAAAACTATTTGTGCATCTACAGAGACTGAGTGGAATCATCTCCCTCTTATATTTGTTTTTGTTATGTGTAGTGCAAATAAGAAAGGTTTGAACAAAGAGTCTAGATTTATTGTTAGCTTTACTCATTGAACTCTAAAAATGTTTAGAGGAATTCCCTTGGTGTTCAACCTTAGACATGGCATAGGGGGCAGAGTTGATTGAAGGTAGGGAGAAGAAATCACCTTTATGAGTTCCTATATACTGAGTTACTTGGATATTTCTGAAGATAAGGGTTTAGCTTGATATTAAGAAAGTCAGGGCTGGGAAGGTGGCTCAGTGGTAGAGCACTTGCCTTGCATGCCTGAGGCCCTGGGTTCGATTCCTCAGCACCACATAAGCAAAAAGAAAAAAGCCGGAAGTGGCGCTGTGGCTCAAGTGGTAGAGCTGAGGGACCACACCCAGGCCCAGAGTTCAGGCCCCACGACCCGGCCCAAAAAAAAAAAAAAAAGAAAAGAAAGTCAAATAAGGGGCACTCAATAAGAGCTCAGTGCAGTGCAAAAATTATTATACAGAAATGTGAAAGAAATGTATCTAGAAAGAGGCAATAGGATAGTTGAGGGATTTTTAAAATTTTTTTGAAATGTCCTTAATAACTCCATTTCTTGCCTTAAATTTTTTTTTAGGTCATAGATGCTAGTATTCATATTTGAGTAAATGTAAACCTCATTTTGAGGTCTGAGAACTGAGAAATTATATAAATCATTTTGTCTTTTTCATATAAGGAGAAAGAACAATAGAATTAAAAATTTTTAGTACTAATACCAACATTAGTAAGAGGAAAGCTAAACTAGAAACTATTCCTTTTCAAGTTGAGTTTTCTTTCCCTGTTTAAGCTTTAGATTTTTTTTCTTACAATCCGGGTTTTTGTTTGTGTTTTGTTTTTAAAGTTCAAATGGTTGTACCATGGGGTTGCAATTTAACGTATCCATTTATGTGTCCAGTGCTTCTTGATTATAGAGTTACTTCTTCCAACCCTTTCCCCCAAACTCATTTTATGTTTCCCTCTTTCTTTATACTCAGGTTTTAATTCCTTATGTTATTCAATTCAGTCTCTACTTAATCTTAATTTTGGAATCTCAATTTTAAAAATAGAAACACAGGAAAAATACAAAGAAGCATGTGTTGTTTTAGATTTATTTTGCCTTTTTATTTTGTTGGTTTGGGTGCTAGTACTGGGGTTTTAAACTTAGCCTCGAGCCCTTGCTGGGCTTTTTCCAACCCTCCAACTCTGGCTTTATTTTTGCTGATTTATTAGAAATAAGGTCTCAAAAGTTTATATGCCCAGGGTGGCTCAGAAGCACGGTCCATAGATCCCAGCCTCCTGAGTAACTTCGGTTACAGCCAGCTTGTTTTTATTACTTTTTTTTTTTTTTTTTTTGCATGTCATGGAGCCTGAACTCTGGGTCTGGGCGCTGTCCCTCAGCTCTTCAGCTCAAGGCTAGTGCTCTACCACTGGAGCCACAGCGCCACTTTTGGCTTTTTCTGTTTATGTGGTGCTCAGGAATCGCACCCAGGGCCTCATGCTTGCAAGGCAAGCATTCTACCACTGAGCCACCTTCCCAGCCCCTATTACTATTTTTTTAATGGTGAAGTATAACTGTTGCCCAGGCTGACCTCAGGCTCCCATGTTCAAGCAAGCCCACCTCAGTTTCCCAAGTTTGGGACTACAGGCTCTGTGCCTAGCTTGTGCAAATTCTTTGGCTCACTAAATTTTTTCAGTCAGTATTCAGAGTCCTGTCATGTTCTTTCCATCCTTATCCAATGAACAATAAGAACCAAGAGAACAAGGAGTTGAACCAAAATTTATTTAGCCGGTCAGTCTTTAGAAGGAAGCCCCTCTTAAGAATGTTCTATCTCAAAACTGACCTAATGTGTTGAATAGTATCTGTATCATGTATTTCTGCTTCTTCAGGTTCAAGTCTATTTTGGCAGGATGCTGGTAGCTCACGCCTGTAATCCTAGCTACTCAGGATCAGAATTCAAAGCCAGCCCAGGCAGGAAATTTCATGACATTCTTATTTCCAATTAACCACCAGAAAAACCAGAAAT